AAAAAAAAAGTAGCTCATAAATATCATATACACTATAAATCTGTCATGCTATGGCTCTTAGATTTTTACCTGTTGAGCCTTTTCAAGCTGGATATTTCCTATTTCTTCTTTTAGAGTCTCTATTTCCTGTTTCAAATCCTTGACAATGACAAAACAGACAAGATTGGACAATGGAACACAGAAATTGACATAAATGCAATGTACAGACAAACACATGAAATTAAATGATGTTAACTAAAGTTGATAAACAGAAAACCAAACACGCTGTTTTCTAAATCTCTTCCAATACCTGAACAGTTTTCTCCTTATTAGCAACTTTGAGAACTTCAGCTTCCAGAAGCTCTTCCACAGACTTGATCTTTCCATCTTTCTCATGGATCCTTAATAAACATACACAGTATTAGTTTGAATAGAAATCACCAGGATCCACCAACTAAGACACAAAAACAACACTGATCATGAAAAGGCTTTTCAACTCCTATGTTAAGTAAAACAGCAACCTATCTTTGCAGGGAGAAAAAAAAGTGAGGGGAGGGACTTAAACCTACTCCTAAAATAGAATCAAGTAACTACCAGATTATTAAAGCCTATGCAGACAAGAATTTGGTAATGTGCTTCAACAGTTCATAAGGAATATAAGATCTGTACCAAGAAGAACATTAGAGATAAGCAAGTTCCTCTCAACAATGGAATTTTCCAGGATTTTGGAGCTCTGGCAGAACTTGTACACAATTACACCAAACTTTACAGACACCTTAAGAAGAGGATACATGCAAGGACATAAATGTCTTATAATATTACCTGGTTTTTGAAAGACAAAAAATTTGGCGTTTTGTTGGCTTTTAAAATTAATTTTATTCATTTTTGAAACTTTTTTTTTTAAATTACACTTGGGAAAGAATGACTTTCCTTAGTACATTAATGAAAAAATTTGTAGTATAAGTTAACTAACATACATCAGGTGTCTCTCCAAAAAGTAAAACTAGATTTGTGAGTACTAAGAAAATAGGCCAAAAAACAAAGACCAGGTTGAAGTAAGGTTATCACTTACACTTTCTTAAGTTCTTCAACTAAAGATGCAAAAGAAACCTAGAAATAGGAAAATATCTTATTTAGTAAATTGCTCTATTAATGCATCAGAAGTAGAAAAGTACAATTTATCCTTAAATTTTCCACTATACCAAATGGGAAAAGTAAACCCAGGAATTCTTTCTAGATGTTTCAAATGTCATAATGATGAAAATAACAATATACTAAAAGTAAAGAGTTTTAAAATTACTTGTAAGTGTAGGTCAAAAGAAAAATCATTAAAGGTTTAAATCATTTAGTCATTCTAACTAGACAAAGAAAAAAATACAACTAGGAAACTGTCTAAATTTTAGTAACCTCTTTTAAACATTATTTATATTCAATTTTTATTTGTATACTCAAAACTGCAATGACTCTAATAGTGACTGGCATGCTATAAATTCAACAAACTATAGCAATATTACTGATAATCAAATAAATAGTCATTCATTGATTTAAAAACTATACTTGATAAATTCCACCTTGGAAGAGAAACAAACTTGATATGTTTTTATGTAAATTTCCACTGTTTAAAAAAGAACAGTTGTAGAATCTACTATATGCATTACCTGATCATTTTGCTTAGCCTTTAAGTCTTGAACTTCTTTCGTCAGAGATGAATTTTCTGTTCTTATTGCCTTTTTCAAAGACACATAAGTACAACATACTTTTATCTTCTGAAGAATTAGATAGCTTCAAAATACACTCACTTCTCATTTTCCTTTAGCTGCTGCTTTTCCTCTCTGTAAAGTCCCAAAATCCCACTTGTTGCATATGTCTACAATTTTGTAACTTCTTTTAGTGAAATGGGTTTTTTAATTCAACTGTCCCAGAACTATATCTATTTATATTTCCACAAATTCAAAAACAGAGTATACTATACCCACTTGTCAATTTTGACATGATCCTCTCTAAATTCAAATATATCTTTTATTTTACTTTCCAGCAACTGCATCCTTATCAAGTTAGTTAAGACTGATGATAACAGTTATTGATAACAACATAGACCTCCAATACTATTCCAGAGACCTATGAAGTCTGCTAGTAATCATTTGTTTATAATTTGGACATGGGTGCAAGTAGAGAAGCATATACAACACTAAGTACAGCAACAGTATCAACCTCTTTAAGGGAGTGAATGCTACAAACAACTATGCATTTTTCTATTTCTCAAAAATCATTTAAAATTAAAGTTATAAATTTATAAAATGTCATTAACTAATATTAAGTTTAAGAGCTATGAGAAAACCTTTTACAATTATAGTGAAACTCCTTCGTGTTCACGGAGTAAGTACAAGGAAAACAAATCTACAAAATGCTTTACATTCAGTTCCTCCTCTTTAGTGGCCACCTGAATAAGTCCAGTTTCAAGTAATTCTTCTACAGTCTTTAACTTTTCATCTTTTTCTTGAATGCTGCAATTATAAATTAAAAACTTATTATAAACTATTCTTAAGGTAAATAATATCATTCCTAAATATTTTACATGAATCAACCCCTCTGTCCATCACTCCTTACAAACTTTAATCCAAGAACGGCTTCTTGAGGATCTCCACCCTCAAGAAACCGTTCTTGGATTTAGGGTACTTCTCAGTTTTAGGGTACTTCTTCATTACCATTAAGGAAACTGTGCTCAAGCACTACAGGCTTATATACCAGTCTAAAAGGTCAATCACCACTACACTGACATAGACCATATTATAAAATCCCAAATAAGCAATAGCATATCACACTCCCTTCTACCACAAAGGACAAAGAGAATTTTAAGAACATAGATTAGTGTCATTAATAATCCTGTTATGACAAATTTGGTAGAAATGAGTCACTGGAAATTTCTTTTCAAAAAGGACAAATTTAAACTCTTACCATTTTTCCATTTGTTCCACAACATCTTTATTAGGCTGAAAATAAAAATCACCGAAAAGTTTAATTCTACCAAGTTTGCATGAAATAAAACTAGATTAGAAATAGAACTCTGTGGAAATTATTTAGAATTCTAAATACATCCAAAATTTAAGAAAATGACCATTATTTGAAAACTGCTATTATAATTTTTAAATTCAAAAGACACAAGATGACAAAAAAGAGGTTATCTACACAAAGGATACAGATAAGAAGTATATGGGGCTGGCAAAATAAACTAGTAACTTATGAATAATTTTTTATTACTATGAAGGATAACCTTGAGGTTCAGGGAAAATCCGCTTCACTTCCCTTATATTAATTAAATTCTTCAAATATAAAAAATCCAAGCCTCTAAAGCATTACAAGTCAAAGAAAGGTTTTTTCTTTTTTTTTTTTTTGACAAAGATCCCCCCACAATAAGTTATAATACTTATCAGCAAGTGAACACACCCTGTTTACAGCTCAATGGATTTTTAATATGTAAATACTATGTAAACACCAGTTAGACCAAAAATAGAGAATGCTTTAAAAAAGCTCATCAACTACAGAAGCAACATAAACATTCTCTTCATTGTCTGACAGATCCTTCAACCTTTGTAACTCACTCTTTCTCCCCATCTACTTTTCTAAAATCTTGGTAGTTCTTACTTTACCAATCTTATTACAACCATTTCTCACAAATAAAAATAATTTTTCCATTGCCAAATCCAAGTCCTAAGGTTTCACTTCTTATATATTTCTAAAATCAACCCCTTCTCTTTAATGAGTAAGTTTAGGTCTAAACCTTTACTCATTTCAAATATCACAAGATCCTCATTCTTATCCCTGTTTATATGGATTGATTTGTGCAGTGCACAAGAAGAAAGAATGTACTAAGAAAAAAACTGTCCCACCCTTAAAAAGGAGATAGGAAATGTCAATTAAATTAGATTTTTTTAAAAATCATGCA